CCCGTCCGCCGCCTCCCGCACTGCGGCCCATCCTTTCCTGGAACCGCCCCCCCTCCCTCCATTCCTACTCCGCCTCTCTCTTCCTTCCGCCGCTCCTGGCCAGCCGTCCCCGGGCTGGCCCCGCCCCTTCACCCGCCGCGCTCTCTCCCTCTCTCTCTCTCTCTCTCTCTTTCTCTCCAGCCCCTGCATATGTTCTCCGGACACGCCCCTCAGGCCAGCCCGGCCGGGACCCTCCCCCCCGGAGGGGCCGGCCTGCGCTCGGTTGGCCAGCTGGACCCCTCGCTGCAGAACCTCGGCGCCTCGGCCCAGGCCACCTTTGATGGCCAGACATCCAGCCAGACCCCCCCATCCTCCGCACCCAACCCGGCTGTCACCCAGGTGTATGATACCATCTGGCGGTACACCGAGCTGCTCATCCACCGAATGTGCCTGTCATTGATTTCCTGCCATGTCCCAGGCTGGCCATCGAGCACCATGGGCGAGGCCTCCGGCAAGGATCCCTGGGTGCGTGCCTCCGAACATGCCTCGCCCCCGGTGGCCCAGGCCCCCCATCCCTGTGTTGCATGCGTGTGCCCCCCCCCCCCCCCCCCCCCCCCCGCTGACCGTCTTTATTCCTCTCCTGCCTCTTCGTCTCCGGGTTTTAGTTCGCCCTCGAGTTGCCGGACACGCTGCCCGAGCTGCGCACCGCCCTCCGCGTGACCGGCATCCGGGCCTCAACCACTTCTGGGCGCTCCCATCGGTGTGTCGCCTGCCGGCCAGCCCTCCGGGCCTCGGGAGCCGAGCTTCCCCCCCCCCCCCCCGTTTTCCCCGCCTGCTCTCTCTCTCTGTCTCTCCACCTCTCCCTCCCTCCCTCATGTGCTGATATCATCCCACCGCCCTCCCCCCTCCCTCCCCCCCCCCCTCTCCCGCGCGCCCAGGAATCCCTTTTATTGCAACTTCGAGCTGCTGGCCCTGCTCCCGCTGAACTCGGCCGATCCGCACGACTGCTGCCCGGCACAATTCATCCCGGGCTTCAGCGTGCAGCAATATCGCGGCGGCCCGTCGTTGGACATCCTGTTCCAGACCGAGGGCACCGAGGCCCATCCAAGCTCGAGTGGGACCTCCCCGGGGGATTCCCGCGCTGCCAATCCCACCGGGGCCTCCTGGGTCCCCTCGAGCATGCGAGCCATCTCCCTGGAAAGCTGGTCCTTCTCGCTGGCCGCCTCCTCGAAGGAGCCCTCGGCCAGCCGGATCATGGAGGACTTCCCGGCCGGGGCCCAGGCCTCAGAGCATCCGGAAGTCCGCCGTGTCTACCGCATGTATCGGTCCTGGCTGCGCGGGCTGCATGTGCTGGCCCGCGCCCAGCCAAGTGGCCGCCTGGCCCGTGGGTGTCCCGGGGCTGGGGTCTGTCAAGAGGTGTGGTCATCCGAAGGCCTGCACGACCCCCTGTGCAGGCCGACGCCTGGCTCGAGTGCCGAGCCGCGGCCCCGGTCGGCCAGCACCGGCACCGGGGCTCGGGCAGCCCCCGCCGGGATGGCTGCCTGCTCCGGTGCCTGCCGGCTCCTGCTGAGGGTCATCGGCCCGCAGGGGTCTCACGTGCTGTCGCTGGACCCGCGCTCGCGTTTCACCTCGGACCAGCTGCAATCGCTGGTCAGCCAACGGCACATCATCGGTCTGGGTACGTCACGGCAGCAGCGGCACCGGCGGCCGGCCGGCAGCACCAGAAACGACAACGCCCTCCCTCTCCGCCTTCTCTTACCTTCCCCCCCCCCCTCCCCCCATCTCATGTCATTTGCCGCCGGGCACGCCGCATCTGGCTGCTCTGCTCGGCCGAATGTGCACCACTGTGCGCGTGTAGACTCTTCGGCTCCATTGAACCCGAAGTTGTCCAAGAAGATGGCCGCCCACCTGCAGGTGGACTCTGGGTTCAAGTGCGTGCCCCTCCTCTCTCCTTGTGGTTTGTCTGCTTGAACTCCCCGAGGCGCCCCCCGCCCTCATCCCCTCCCCACTTACACGATATCCCTTTCTCTCTCTCTCTCTCTCTCTCTCCCTCTCTATGCGTGTGTCTCCTCCCGATGCGCCCCTTTCCCCGGCGCAGCCTCCTCTCATTGAGCGTCTTCCACCGGCCGATTGCCGGCATCACGCCACATATGGCGGTTGAGCGGCCGACCACTTCACTGCGACCGGCGTCCCGTGCCCTGCCCATCGGGCCCGGGCGCCGGAACGGCTGTCCCGGCTGCTCGGCTGCTGGCGATGGCTCACTTGGCGGGCCGGCCGGTCTCGAAGGCCACCCTGGCAATGGCATGTCCGGCGTGTCGCCTGGCTGTGCGATGTGCGTGGCGCTTCCCCGCACCCCCCAGCAGCACCAGCAGCAACAACAACAGCAACAGCACTACTGCAATGGCCCACAATATGGCACCCCGGGCAGCTCCTACGGCGGGGGGTCTTCCAGTGGCAACCTGCGTGCACCCTCCTCACGGCCGGGCTCCTTCGCGACATCGGCTCCCACGTCGGCCGCCGGTCCGCTTTCCCTTCACCAGCTGGGCTCTGTCGGTGGCCCGGGCGGAGTCATTGGCGCCTTCTCCTCGCAGTCTGGCTTCGGGACTCACTCGACGCGCATCAGCTCCATCGGCACTGGTAGCATTCGCCTGTCGCCCAGCTCACCGCTGCCCCCGCCGCCGGGCGCCGGAGTCGGGCTGGATCCATCCTTCCGGGATCTCTTTGCCGAGCCGCTGCAGCCCATCATCCCACGCGGGGGCGCTGGCGGCGGGTCGCCCATGCGCGTGCCAGCATCAAATGCCCACAGCCAGCCACACCACCACCATCAGCAGCAGCAGCAGCAACAGCAGCAGCAGCAGCAACTGCCCCGGTCCGGACTGTCCCCAACCGACACGGGCCCCGGCCAGTCGATCCAGCTCACCTTTGTGCGTTTTTTTCCCCCCTGAAGTCCTGCTCCCCCCCCCCTCCCTTCCACACCTCGGATTTTGCCATGCATTCGCCCCGAGCCCCTCCTCGGAGGGGTGTCCCCACCTTTGCTCACACGCCTAGACACTGGCACAATGCTGTGGTTCGCTTTTTCCCCGGGCACAGAGCTCCCACGAAAATGTCATCGTCCGCAGTGTGGAGCTCCCTCACTCGCCGCCGGCTGGCATGGCATCCATGCGGGCCGGACTGTTCCCCACAATCGATTCGGAACTCTTCTCCCGAGGTATGCCCACATGGTTCCCACGTGACATGCGACACTTTCCGGAGGCCACCCCCACTCGGGCTGCATTTTGCATTCCGCTCTGTCCCTCTCGCTTGCGTGGCCCAGTTTCGACCCCACCATTGACACTCTCCGCCCCCCGTCCCCCCCCCCCCCCCCCCCTCTTCTCCCGTCCCCCCTCCCCCTCTCCCTCTTTCCCTCTTTCCCTCTCTCTCTCTCACGCCCCCTTGTGCCCGGCGGAGCAGACGTACATGCGGCCTCGGCACCGACGGCCCGCGGCGTGAGTGGCTTGACTCAGGCCTTCCAGCGTGAACGCATGGTCAGTCCCCCGGGGGGCAACACTGGCGCCAACGCCAACGGCGGCGGTGCCGACCCGGCGGGGCCCCATGCTGGCATCGCCATTAGCCGGCCGGGTGTTTCGGCTCTGCATGTTGACTCTGCCGGGCTGGCTGTCCCGCCACGCCATGCCACCCCGCCCTACTACCCCTCCCGGGGGTCTGCCGGGACCCAGGCCAACGGCAGCAGCAACAGCAGCAGCCCTCACACGCCATATGGCGGTGGATCGTACCAGCCGGCGCCAACCCTGCCCCCCGCCGGGAGCTACTCTCCTCGGTCGTATCAGCCCTTGGCCGGCGGCATGGCGGGTGCCACGATTTCGCCGGCCTCCCACTCGCGCCCGGTATCCTCCATCACCACCGCCGGGTCGCACATGTCGACACCGGCATCGCAACCATCGCGGCCGGGGATGTCCCCGCGTAGCCCTGGTGCCGAGCGCCCGGGGCAGATAATCCAGATGGGCTTCAGTATTAGCCCGGTGCGCCCGTCGGAGTTGGCGCAGCGCCCGGGTCCGGCAGCCACCTCTGCTGGTTACACCCACCTGGCTGCCACCGGCCGACCTGAGCCGATTGCCCCTGGTGACGAGCAGGACGAGGGCTTTGATGACATCTCGGATTACTGACCGGCGGCACTCTGGCGCACCCGAGGCGTGGACAAGCCCCGGTGAAGAGCAGCCAGTCCACTTTGCCCGCCTCTCTCTCTTTTTTTCTCTCTCTCTCTCCCCTGCTTCCCTCCCCCCATGTACTTGTGATTTCCCTTCCCCCTTCCCTAAACAATAGATATTTCCCCCTCCCCCTCCCCCCCCCCCGGCCACGAAAAAAAGCACACGAAACATTCACACACTGGCGCGCGGGATGACACACTGCCTGGAAAAGGGAGCCAGAAAGGAAAGACGTAAGAGCCACACCATTGTCGTGTGCGTCTTCGGTTGAGAAGCGGGCTTGTGTGTATGGAGAGGAGGCCGAGCAGAGGGGGGAGGTGAAAGGGAAAGGGATCCGCGCGCTCTACACGACATGCTAGGACGTGTTGCCGGCCACCGGGGCCGAGGAGGCGCTCGCAGTGGGGGTCGGGGAGGTGGACGAGGACAAGGGCGACCGCGTGTCGTGGTCATTCATGATGTGCGCCATGAGCTCCATGAAGGAAGACAGCTGCCGCCGGCATCCGGTCCACAGGCACGCCCGGCCAACCTTCAGCACACTTTCCTTGGCCAGCTGGTTGTCCACGGCTGGGGCCACGGCCGGCAGAGGGACCACCGGGCTGGAGGACGTGTCCCCGGCCTCGCGATGCTCGACCGCGGCAGCCGCGGACTTTCGTTGGGCCCGAGCAATTTGACGCATGAGACGGGAGGTCGGGCTGGCAGTCAGACCAACCGACGCCCCGCCGAGGCTGTTGGCCTCGCGCTGAAGAAGCTCCTGCGTGGCCGCGATCAGGCGCTTGGTGGCACGCGAACACCCATGCCCCGGGCCCCGAGAGCCGATGTCCCCATTGTGACGTTGGGAAACCGCCCCCAACCCAGCTGCGGGGCCCTTTTCGCCACCACGCCGGGGCCGAGGCCAGCCAACAGCATCGTCCTCGGTGGTCGCGTCATCACTGCTGGCGGAGGAGTCACTTTCATCACTTGAGGAGACGTCATCCACCCCGTCATCCGAACTAACGGCCGGAAGGTCTGGGGAGGATGCTCGGTCCTGCGAGGAGTATGCATCATCAGACTGAGAGGAATCCGACGCCGTGGAGGAGTCCTCGTCGTCGGAGATATACTGAGCCAGCAGGTGCTGCGGGTCCACACTCGGCGGCTCCAACTTCGGCATCAGGCTGATCGCCGGGGCAATGGAAGAGCGGGCCGATGCCCGGCGCGCGCTTCGCCGGACTACCGGGTACGTCCGAGCCGACTGGCCGGTATCCCGGCCGCCAACACTGGCCGCCACAGCCCGGAAGGTCCCCGCATCGGCGGCCCCGGCCTCGAGACCGGCGCTCGACCGGAAGTCCGGCGATACCGCCTGCGCCGGGGCCGTGTCCGGAGCGCACAGCCGCAAGATCGACCGGGCAAAAAGCTCCGCATGGACGGCCGCATTGCGAGCCGCTTGTGAAGAGACAGCCGCCAGGGGCAGAAGGCTGGACACGGTTGCTCCGGGGCCTGGGCCGGCGCCACCCTGTTGCCCGGTGGCCCTGGCAGCCAGCATGGCTGGCGAGGACAGGCCATAAATGCCGGACCCGGCGCGGGAGGGGTGCACCACGCGATTCCGGGGGTCCGTGTGTGCCAGCGGGTGCTGCGGCCCGGGGTCACCCAAACGCCGAGACTGCTCGCCGGCCGGCAACTCGGCAACCGGTGGCACTTGGGCCACAGAGGACGCCACCTCACTGGCCGAAGTTGTGATCGAATCGACCGCCGAAGACCCGGAGGAGGGGGAGGAGGGGAAGGAAGGGGAGGAGGAGGGGGGGGAGGACGGCCCGGGCGCCATGGCTGAGGCGGAGGAGAGGAGGGCCTCGGTCATCGTGACATCTGTGGTGGCAGGGGCAGGGCCGGCAGGGGCGGTGCCGGGGGCAGGCATGGCGATCGGCTTCACTGCGACCAGTGGCGGCATGGGGGAGCCCGTAGATGCCGACCTTTCGGGCGCCGGCGAGGAGAAGAGCACGGTGATTTGCTGTGGCGCCCCGGTGGACACGGTGATGCGTGCCTGGGTCTTGGAGCGCTTGACCGGAGGCATGGCGACACCCTCGGGGGCGGACTTGCCCCCGGGTGGAGACCGGGAACGCTTGTCAGCCCGAGGGATCACCGTGACCGGTGAATCGGCTTTGAACCAGGGGGCGGGGCGCGTCAGAAAGATGAAAGAGGGCACAGGCCCGGCGCCAAGGGGAGGGGGAGAGAAAGAGAGGAGGAAAAAAGAACGCACAAGAAGCCTTGCCAGGAGCAGCCCTGGTCCCCGTCCCGACCTGGCGGTCCGACACGGCACGGGCGGTCCATTCGGCTGCCGATGGCGCGGAAGTGGAGGACAAGTCAATCACCAAGTCCGACCCCATGGCCGGCCGCAGATCGGCGACCCCGAGGTCAAAGGGAGCCATTCGCGAGGGCGGCACGCCTGGCGCATTTGCGCCTGAGACGCTCAGGCGTTCGGGAGACGCCGCCAGGGTACCGGTGCCGCTGGAAATGCGCAACGGAAGCATCGACGGGGACCGCGAGCGGGACACAACAAGGATCGGCTCGGCGCTCGGGCTGCCTGATTCCGGCGCGGGGTGGTCGGCGCGCTTGGTGCCGGTTTGGATCTTGAGCACGGGCGAGGGCCCTGTGGCCGAATGGGTGGCCAGCAGGGGCTTGATCGAGATCCTCGGGGACACCACCTCGCGCAGAGGGGAACTGGCCGCAGACGAAGCAGCTGCATTGGCAGACGCCGGCACAATCACCGGCAACGCGGGCACCGCCGCCAGGACGGGAGTGGGAGTGGAAACGGTCAACCGAATGGGAGCAACCACGGCCGGGGCACTCGCTGAATTTGACATTGACAAGGCGCTCGGGGAAGCTGGGGCCTCCCTCGAGGCGGCCCTTGGCGACGGGGACGCTGAAGGAGCCGCCGCTACAGGGGCTGCAGGCCGAACGGCGGCAGCGGGCACAACGACCGCAGGGAGCACGGCAGGCGTGGAGATGGCTGGCACAGAGGCTGGCAATGCGCCTGCGGAGGCTGGAGCCGGCGCCTCCACCAGCATGACAGCACCAGCAGCACCAGTTGGGGGGATTGGTGGAAGGACAGATCGAGAGGTGTCATCCGAGGGCACAACGGAGGCCGTGCTTGGGGTTGGGCCTGTACCGGCAGCCGGAGCAGTGGGAGGTACAACGCCGCCAGAAGCAGCAACAGGCGTGGTACCATGGGCCTTGCTGCCGGGCGCCCTTGTCGAGGAGGCCGCAGGGTGGATGTGCGACACGACCGTCGGCTGAGCCTCGTCAAACCGCGCGGCCGGTGCGGCCGCGACAGCCCGAGGCATTGGCTCGGTCGACGTGGCCGAGGACTGAGAGGAGTCGGAGGCAAGACCATTGGATGGTGGCTGGGGCGAGGCCGCTTGTGAAGTAGCGGCGCTTGATGAGGCCGTCTCCGAGGGGAGGTGATGAGTCCCGACACTTGACCCGTCCATCGAAGGGGGCACAGATGATTGGCCAGCCACCGGAGGAGTAGCTTCCAGGGCCGGTGTCAACAGGCCAACCGGAGACACCGAAGACCGGGTGGGTGGAGGGACAGCACCTGGAGCAATCGGGAGAGGAGGAGGATATCGTGTCGTTGGGGGGGGGGGGGGGGGGGGGGGGATTGTCAGGAAAAAAGAGGGGTATGACCCGGGAAGCCTTCCGAGGTATGGGGAAGGAAATAGGGGCGACAAAAGGGAACACGGAAGAAGGACCGAGCCCCCCTCCCGCGAGCCCTGCTTCCCTCCTTTGACCATCTGTCTCTCTCGATAAGGGCATCACGAAGACGTGCGGATGCCCGGCCCGGACCGAGGCGGTGCATGAACGTGCGGTGGAATACCCAGAAGGCGAGAGACTACAAGAGAAAGGGACAAAGATAAAAGGTAGGAAGAGAGAGAGTGTGTGTGTGTGTGTGTGTGTGTGTGCGTGTGTGTGTGTGTGGAGGAACAGGCAAAAAAAGGCTCGCAAGAATGTCGTACAGGCGGCGTCACAAGGGGGGGACTTCTGGGAGGGGAGATGCACGGCAGGATGCTGAAGAGACGCCAAATGCTTGAAAGGGGCCTCCTGGAGCGACGCTTCCGAGGTAGTCCCACGAGAGGCTGCTTCGGCAAGCACCTTGGCAGCCTGAAGGGTGGGAGTTTGCTCGGTATTCTGTCGGGCGACTGCTTCCCCGGCGGTCTTGCGAGTAACAGCCAGCCTTGCGGCCTCGCGGGCAGTGGCCCAACGGGCAACAGCCTCTTCGGCAGCCTCCCGGGCAGCGGTCTCTTCAGCAACTCGGCGTGCAGCAGCCTGCCTTGCGGACTCATGGGCAGCATTCCAACGAGCAGCA